AGCCCAGGGGCAGTGCACCTCGCCCTGGGCTGACGCCTCCTCCCAGAGGGCAGCCTTCCCCACACACTCCCACTGTGGTCTGCACCTGTGCAGGCACCCTGACCTCTCGCCTTCTCCACACTGAGACGTGGCCAGCTCTGTGAGAGCTCCAGGGCACTGGCTGTGCCTCTCTCAAAGCTACTGCCACCCTGCCTGGGGGTGCCCATACCCACGCAGGCTCAGGGCCTGGCGGGAGGACTGAGATCCTGGCTGGTCCAAGTGTCCTAAGACTCCCAGATCCGCAGGTCTCAGTCTCTAGACCTTGAGGGCTCCAGGCTATGTCAGCCCACGCCCCACTGCCAGCCCCTGAGACCAGTGCCCACCCTTGGCCCCAGAACTGGGCCACGTACTTCCCACTAACTGCCCAAAAATGCCCCTAGAGGGACCCCTACCCCTCCTTCCAATGCTGCCGCTTCACAGCCCAGGGCCTCAGAGGGTGATCTGCAGCCCATGCCTCCACCTGACCCCACCCCACCCCACAATAAGACCCAGTCTGCACCCCCCAACCACCTGCTGAGCAGCTCCCCACCACACCCTCAGGCCCCCTGGCCACTGCTGTGGAGGTGTGGGGTGAGCTGGTTTCAGCAGTGGGGGGTGCAGCCGCTCACCTTGATGTGCATCCTGGCACGCTTCAGCAGGCTCAGGGTGGTGTGGCGGGCGCTGTCAGGGCCCGGGGGCACCAGCTGCTTGAGCTGTTCCAGGTACAGCCTGAGTTTGGCTCGTCTGAAAGAGCCAGAGACAGAACTGTGAGGGGCGCAGAGGCAGCCGAGCACAGGAGGCCGAGGGGAGGGCGGGAGGCAGCCGGCGGGACGCCCGCGTGGTCCTTCTCCAAATTCCTTTCCAGAGCCCTCCTCCCAGCCTGGCCCCCTGAGCAGCCCTACACCCACTGGCCTCTGGGTGCCCCAGCAGCAGAGGAGGGCCTGTGGCTGGGTCCCTGTGCCAGCCAGACCACCACAGCCCCAGAGCCCTGGGTGCCCCTCCAGGCACTACCTTGGTCTGGCTCACACCCTGCTGTCACTGCCCTCCCATGGCCAGGCTGCTTCCAGAGATGGAGGCCTCAGGCAAGACCAACACCCCCCCCTTGCCCAGTGCGGTGGGGTGCTCTCCCGTCACTCCCGTTACCACGGAAACACGAGTTGTCCACACAGGTCTCAGAGGGCCGGGACCAGCCCCTCCCACCCGGAGTTGGTTATTCCTTCCACTTTGTCCCACATCCATGCAGACGAAGGCAGACTTCACAAACTGGACCCATAAGACCAGTGGCACCATGCACCTGGGGGCCTTGGGTGATGGCTTTGACCCGGACCTGCCCTTGAAGAAATGTTGCCTTTTGGCATCTCCTCTGGGGAGGGCAGGCTGGTGGAAACCACGGGTGGCTAACACTCACCCAAAGCACACTCTGGCCATTGTGGTGGACTGGGGGCCTCAGTCACGTCCACGTGACCACTGCCTCAGCCTCCACAGAGGGCCAGAGCCCATGCGGGGTGCTGAGGCTGTTTCCAGCCATGATGCTCTGCTTAGACCCAGCTCTGAGGAGAGGAACTGTGGGGTGAGGGGCGGGAGTCTCTTGTGAGGTCTTGACAACCTGGGCTCTACCACCCTACCACCATCAATGCCAGCACATCTTGCTGCCTTAAGAGACCCTGGGAGGAAAGCGGGTAGGGGGAGCCACCTCCTCTGGACTGAGGGGGTGCCTGGAGCCCGGGAAGAGAAGGGGCAGCTGGGTGCAGAGTGGCAATAAGGGCCCCATCCTACAGGAGGAGGTCTGACCGTGTTTGAATCCTGTGGCCCTATATCTGAGGGCAGGCTGGTAGAAATCATGACCCTGTGGCCCCATGTCCACACAGCACCTTCCCACTGACAAATTTCCTCGCCACCTGTCACCTCATGCACCCTGAGGCCTGGAACTTCTCCTGGTGAACCCAAGATAGACCTTAGGAGGAACTTCCAGGACACAGGACCAAGACTGGGCTGGGCCATGAGACCACGCAGAGCTGGGACCTGAACAGCCTAAGCATGGGGACCTGTGTGCAAGGCAGGCCAGGCTCCACCTCAAGGCTGGGAGATCTGCAGAGATGAACCCCCAGCCCCACAGGGACACAGGGCTCTGGGAGGGTGCACACCAAACCGGGAACCTCACCTCCCTGCTGAGAACAAAGCCAGGAGGCCCAGAGCTGCACCAGCTAATAGCACCCCCATCCCCAGAGGCCCCTTCATCCCCCTCCAGCATTGCATTTACAAGCAGAGTCCATAGTCCACTTGTTCTGTAACAAATGGCAATTCTTACAAGCTACTGTTTCATTATACCAGTGGTGCATGATCTCTATGAAAAATTAGAAAATGCAGATCAATAGAAAGAAAAAACTGAAAGGTATCCCAGAATTCCACCACTCAAAGACTATCATATTGCCATTTTAGTGTATTCTACATTTTTGCATTGTAAATGTTCAGTGAGAAAAGCAACACATGGAACCACCTAGTGACAAGTCACCCAATATTTAAAAAAAAAAGAAACCAGCAGACGCACACAAGAGACTCGACGGGACACAAAGAGGAGCAGGAAGCTTGCGTCTCCAGGCGATGCGGTCGGCGACGTTTATTTTTCTGGCTTCATGTTTTTTGTTTTAGTTTTTCTATTTTCCAGGTTTTCTATACTAAAGAACCACATATTACTTTTACAATCAGAAAAAGACACATTTGTACAAGAAAGAAAAAAACACAGCCAAAAGACAACAGTAGAAAAATATTTGCAATACACATAAAAGACAAACAGCATTCATGACATTTCGAGCTCATACACATTGAAGTAAAATGAGTATCTCTGTGAAATGGAGGAGGACACAAAAAGGCAAGTTGCAGAGCTCAGTGAGCTGACACGACATCGACCCCGCCTCACGGCAATCTGGGACCTGAAAGCCACTGGAGCTCTAGCTCAGGCTAGACAGGAAGGCGCGGGCGGCTCCCAGGCAGGCCGGCGGGCCAGGCCTGGCTCCGGCGCCGGGAGCAAGCAGGGCCCAGCAGTTGTGCAGGGTCATCACAGCAACAGACCCTCAACCAGCACTTCCACCTCTAGGACTTTGGTCCCGCGAAACTACCCACCAGGTATGCAAAGATCCAGGTCACATTGTCACCTCAGCACCACCTGTTACCAGAGGGCTGTTGCTAAGAACCCTGAGGCACAATGTGGGACCAGGAGGCAGAGAAGGCACAGACACAGGTGGACAGCGCTCACATGGCATCAGGCGAAAGGTCAAGTTAGGAACCAGCAGAAACAAGGTCTGGCTCTTATCCAAATTAGTGCCTGCATGCAGGAGAAGGGGGCAGATATGGCCCCCCAGCTGCCTGGCAGAGGGGCGGGGCAGGAGGTCCATGAGCGTCAGAGAAGAACATGAACAAACTGCTTTAGAAATTATAAAGCAGAGGCTTCTCGAAAGGCAGAGAGAGGCCACCGGACTACACCTGTGCGGTGCTCTCCGCGGGACGACATGCCCACCCAAGCCCCGGGGAGCGTTCAGCCAGGACCTGGGGCAGCCTCATGAGGTGCGAACTGGCCCTGCCAAGGGCCAGCTGTGGGGCCCTTCTGAGTCCGTGTCCCAGCCCTGCGGGGAGTGGGTATCCCAGGGGCCTCCCTGGAGCTCCCTGGAGGGCGTGGGCATGCCAAGACCATGCAGCCTGTGGCCACAGTGGGCTCGCTAAGCCCCCCTCTGGACCTGCTGCAGGCCCCAGGCCCTCTGCCAGCACCCCACGGGCTATCCCCAGTGGAGCCTTCAAAGCCCACCACTTCCTGCAGAGCCCCATGTGGACTCAGGAGGCAGAACGCGCACCCAGAACCGCAGCATGGGGGTGACAGCACTCAGTCTCTGGCGACTGGCCACAGCCCAGCACTTACAGGGGCCCCTTCCCGCTTCTCGCGGCAAGCCCCTGTCCTCAGAGGACCCCGAGCCCCGGGCAGGCCCCAGCATCTGAGGCGCAGGGTCCCAGACATCTGGCAGAGCCTCGTCCTGAACCACTCCAGGCCTGGCTGGTGGAAGAGGCGGCAAGAGACGGCGCTGAGCTGCAGCGTGGCTGCATCTCCACTCGTGCCCGTGCGCGTAGTCGTGAGGTTTACAAAGACCGTGAGTGGTGTCTCGGGCACACAGGGACAGCTGCTGCAGGCCTCCCTTGGAGGGGTCCGCCTGGGCCCAGCCACCACCTCACGCCAGGCAAGGGGGAAGAGGCCTGACTGAGGGGCCTGGGCTGCCGACACAAGGGGCTGCTAAGGGCCCCTTCCCACCACACAGAAAAGCTAAAGCCCAGAGCTGGGCCTGGGGGAACACATGACCTCCATGAACCCCAGGGCCCCGGGGTCACTGGCAGAGCTCGTCTTCGCAGACCCACTGGCCCTGCCATCTACAGGGGAGGATGGGGGCACAGGCACAAGCCAGGNCAGCCCCTGCTGGGAGGAGAAGCCCTCTTCCCTGTGCAGACTGGGCGTGTGAGCTGGAGTTGGGAGGGGAAGCCAGGCACAGGTCGGGGTCAGCATTTGCCCAGGTGACCCCTGAAGGCCAGCCGCCTCTGGGTCCAGCAACCATGTGTATCTGCATGTATGCATGTGTGTGCGGGCAAGCGTGTCTAGACGTGTGCATGTGTACATCTGAGAGCAGAAGCTGCCCAGAGCAGAAGCTGCCCAGCTGTGTGTGGGGTGGCCTGGCCTGCCCCCAGAAGCCCAGCCCTGGCTCCAGACAACTGCAGGATGCAAAGGCCCACTCCACCCCCCCTGCCCCAGGCTGCTCACCCGAGTCCCGCCCTTCACGGGTCCCTCTGTCCATGCCTCAGGAGCCTACGTGGACCGACAGACAGATGGACAGACGGATGGGCGGAGAGCCATGCCTTCCTTCCTTGGTCCGTTCCTTTCTCCTGGGATCCAGGGGTGGGGTCTGAGCTCCCGCAGCGGTCATTAAGCCCCTCACACGGCGCCCGCCGAGATTTGCAGCAATGATATTTAATACTTCTGGAATGATTAGGAATCTGAGAACAGACGGTGGGCGGCTATGCTGGGCTCCGGGCGAGGGAGCTGGGCCCTACCTCCCTGCAGGGGTCCCTGCCCAGCTGGGAGGGTTGGGCGGCACAGCAGCCCTGACCAGCAGGCAGGTGGAGGCGGGCAGCTGGAGCTTCCAGAATGGCACAGCAGCAGGCCCGTGGAAAGGCGTGCGAGGACTGGAGGGTCAACATACTTGGCCAGGTGGGCAGGGAGGCCAAGGAGCAGAGGGCGCCGGGCCTACAAGAGGCCAGGGTGGCCAGGTCGCCGGCAGGGTAGCCCATAGCCACTGTCGCTGCAGCCACCACTCTGCAGGCTGTAGTGGTCATCCACGTCACTGCTGCTACCAACACTGTCCAGCTCGCCGGGGCCAAACTCCATGCCCTCTACATCCACTTCTGGGGAGAAGAGAGAGAGGATGAGGTTGTATGCTGTGAGGGTGCCAGCTGGAGTGCCCTTCATGGTTAGGGCTGGCATCTGTCCTTTCTGGAGAAAGCAGACACTGGGGCAGGGGTGTGGGGAGCAGAGAGCTCCTGGTCAGTGCTGAGTGAAGAACACAGCCCCAAGTACTCGGCCCTCATGGGGCAGGTCACCTGGCTTTGGTGCCTCACCAGCTCTGCCACCACATTGGGCGCTTGGACAGTGCCAGGGACACACCATCACACAGACACCTGCTGCCCACTGCTACTGTCCCTGCCCCAGGCTGCCCCCATACCAGCCCCCCTTTTTCAACCAGGGCCTGTATGCAGTACATGCTCAAGGGCCTGGAAGGGCTGCACGATGCCCACCTTGCTCTGAGTCGTCGGTGGAGACCGCGGAGCCCGTGCTGTCCGTGCGCACTCGCTCCAGGCTCTGCACCGACAGCTGCTCCAGACGCCGCTTCAGGAAGCGGTGTTCCCGCTGCAGCTGCTCCTTGATGCTCAGAGCCCGGCGGTCCTGCTCCTCTAGTTTCTGGGGGACAGGGGGACAGAGGGGACTGTGAGCCAGGGACACTGGGACATAGCAGCCTGGCTGGGCAGTTGCCCCATCCCCTGCCTGGGCCAGGGGCACAGGTTACACCCCTCTGTGGCCTGCCAGGTGGTTACTCTGGGGGCCACCTCCCAGCCCTGTCCTCTGTGCCTGCTGAGCAGCTCCAGAAGGCCCCCAGCAATGGCCAGCCTGGCCGAACCAAGTAACATGTGGGCCTGAAGCCCAGGGGCAGTGCACCTCGCCCTGGGCTGACGCCTCCTCCCAGAGGGCAGCCTTCCCCACACACTCCCACTGTGGTCTGCACCTGTGCAGGCACCCTGACCTCTCGCCTTCTCCACACTGAGACGTGGCCAGCTCTGTGAGAGCTCCAGGGCACTGGCTGTGCCTCTCTCAAAGCTACTGCCACCCTGCCTGGGGGTGCCCATACCCACGCAGGCTCAGGGCCTGGCGGGAGGACTGAGATCCTGGCTGGTCCAAGTGTCCTAAGACTCCCAGATCCGCAGGTCTCAGTCTCTAGACCTTGAGGGCTCCAGGCTATGTCAGCCCACGCCCCACTGCCAGCCCCTGAGACCAGTGCCCACCCTTGGCCCCAGAACTGGGCCACGTACTTCCCACTAACTGCCCAAAAATGCCCCTAGAGGGACCCCTACCCCTCCTTCCAATGCTGCCGCTTCACAGCCCAGGGCCTCAGAGGGTGATCTGCAGCCCATGCCTCCACCTGACCCCACCCCACCCCACAATAAGACCCAGTCTGCACCCCCCAACCACCTGCTGAGCAGCTCCCCACCACACCCTCAGGCCCCCTGGCCACTGCTGTGGAGGTGTGGGGTGAGCTGGTTTCAGCAGTGGGGGGTGCAGCCGCTCACCTTGATGTGCATCCTGGCACGCTTCAGCAGGCTCAGGGTGGTGTGGCGGGCGCTGTCAGGGCCCGGGGGCACCAGCTGCTTGAGCTGTTCCAGGTACAGCCTGAGTTTGGCTCGTCTGAAAGAGCCAGAGACAGAACTGTGAGGGGCGCAGAGGCAGCCGAGCACAGGAGGCCGAGGGGAGGGCGGGAGGCAGCCGGCGGGACGCCCGCGTGGTCCTTCTCCAAATTCCTTTCCAGAGCCCTCCTCCCAGCCTGGCCCCCTGAGCAGCCCTACACCCACTGGCCTCTGGGTGCCCCAGCAGCAGAGGAGGGCCTGTGGCTGGGTCCCTGTGCCAGCCAGACCACCACAGCCCCAGAGCCCTGGGTGCCCCTCCAGGCACTACCTTGGTCTGGCTCACACCCTGCTGTCACTGCCCTCCCATGGCCAGGCTGCTTCCAGAGATGGAGGCCTCAGGCAAGACCAACACCCCCCCCTTGCCCAGTGCGGTGGGGTGCTCTCCCGTCACTCCCGTTACCACGGAAACACGAGTTGTCCACACAGGTCTCAGAGGGCCGGGACCAGCCCCTCCCACCCGGAGTTGGTTATTCCTTCCACTTTGTCCCACATCCATGCAGACGAAGGCAGACTTCACAAACTGGACCCATAAGACCAGTGGCACCATGCACCTGGGGGCCTTGGGTGATGGCTTTGACCCGGACCTGCCCTTGAAGAAATGTTGCCTTTTGGCATCTCCTCTGGGGAGGGCAGGCTGGTGGAAACCACGGGTGGCTAACACTCACCCAAAGCACACTCTGGCCATTGTGGTGGACTGGGGGCCTCAGTCACGTCCACGTGACCACTGCCTCAGCCTCCACAGAGGGCCAGAGCCCATGCGGGGTGCTGAGGCTGTTTCCAGCCATGATGCTCTGCTTAGACCCAGCTCTGAGGAGAGGAACTGTGGGGTGAGGGGCGGGAGTCTCTTGTGAGGTCTTGACAACCTGGGCTCTACCACCCTACCACCATCAATGCCAGCACATCTTGCTGCCTTAAGAGACCCTGGGAGGAAAGCGGGTAGGGGGAGCCACCTCCTCTGGACTGAGGGGGTGCCTGGAGCCCGGGAAGAGAAGGGGCAGCTGGGTGCAGAGTGGCAATAAGGGCCCCATCCTACAGGAGGAGGTCTGACCGTGTTTGAATCCTGTGGCCCTATATCTGAGGGCAGGCTGGTAGAAATCATGACCCTGTGGCCCCATGTCCACACAGCACCTTCCCACTGACAAATTTCCTCGCCACCTGTCACCTCATGCACCCTGAGGCCTGGAACTTCTCCTGGTGAACCCAAGATAGACCTTAGGAGGAACTTCCAGGACACAGGACCAAGACTGGGCTGGGCCATGAGACCACGCAGAGCTGGGACCTGAACAGCCTAAGCATGGGGACCTGTGTGCAAGGCAGGCCAGGCTCCACCTCAAGGCTGGGAGATCTGCAGAGATGAACCCCCAGCCCCACAGGGACACAGGGCTCTGGGAGGGTGCACACCAAACCGGGAACCTCACCTCCCTGCTGAGAACAAAGCCAGGAGGCCCAGAGCTGCACCAGCTAATAGCACCCCCATCCCCAGAGGCCCCTTCATCCCCCTCCAGCATTGCATTTACAAGCAGAGTCCATAGTCCACTTGTTCTGTAACAAATGGCAATTCTTACAAGCTACTGTTTCATTATACCAGTGGTGCATGATCTCTATGAAAAATTAGAAAATGCAGATCAATAGAAAGAAAAAACTGAAAGGTATCCCAGAATTCCACCACTCAAAGACTATCATATTGCCATTTTAGTGTATTCTACATTTTTGCATTGTAAATGTTCAGTGAGAAAAGCAACACATGGAACCACCTAGTGACAAGTCACCCAATATTTAAAAAAAAAAGAAACCAGCAGACGCACACAAGAGACTCGACGGGACACAAAGAGGAGCAGGAAGCTTGCGTCTCCAGGCGATGCGGTCGGCGACGTTTATTTTTCTGGCTTCATGTTTTTTGTTTTAGTTTTTCTATTTTCCAGGTTTTCTATACTAAAGAACCACATATTACTTTTACAATCAGAAAAAGACACATTTGTACAAGAAAGAAAAAAACACAGCCAAAAGACAACAGTAGAAAAATATTTGCAATACACATAAAAGACAAACAGCATTCATGACATTTCGAGCTCATACACATTGAAGTAAAATGAGTATCTCTGTGAAATGGAGGAGGACACAAAAAGGCAAGTTGCAGAGCTCAGTGAGCTGACACGACATCGACCCCGCCTCACGGCAATCTGGGACCTGAAAGCCACTGGAGCTCTAGCTCAGGCTAGACAGGAAGGCGCGGGCGGCTCCCAGGCAGGCCGGCGGGCCAGGCCTGGCTCCGGCGCCGGGAGCAAGCAGGGCCCAGCAGTTGTGCAGGGTCATCACAGCAACAGACCCTCAACCAGCACTTCCACCTCTAGGACTTTGGTCCCGCGAAACTACCCACCAGGTATGCAAAGATCCAGGTCACATTGTCACCTCAGCACCACCTGTTACCAGAGGGCTGTTGCTAAGAACCCTGAGGCACAATGTGGGACCAGGAGGCAGAGAAGGCACAGACACAGGTGGACAGCGCTCACATGGCATCAGGCGAAAGGTCAAGTTAGGAACCAGCAGAAACAAGGTCTGGCTCTTATCCAAATTAGTGCCTGCATGCAGGAGAAGGGGGCAGATATGGCCCCCCAGCTGCCTGGCAGAGGGGCGGGGCAGGAGGTCCATGAGCGTCAGAGAAGAACATGAACAAACTGCTTTAGAAATTATAAAGCAGAGGCTTCTCGAAAGGCAGAGAGAGGCCACCGGACTACACCTGTGCGGTGCTCTCCGCGGGACGACATGCCCACCCAAGCCCCGGGGAGCGTTCAGCCAGGACCTGGGGCAGCCTCATGAGGTGCGAACTGGCCCTGCCAAGGGCCAGCTGTGGGGCCCTTCTGAGTCCGTGTCCCAGCCCTGCGGGGAGTGGGTATCCCAGGGGCCTCCCTGGAGCTCCCTGGAGGGCGTGGGCATGCCAAGACCATGCAGCCTGTGGCCACAGTGGGCTCGCTAAGCCCCCCTCTGGACCTGCTGCAGGCCCCAGGCCCTCTGCCAGCACCCCACGGGCTATCCCCAGTGGAGCCTTCAAAGCCCACCACTTCCTGCAGAGCCCCATGTGGACTCAGGAGGCAGAACGCGCACCCAGAACCGCAGCATGGGGGTGACAGCACTCAGTCTCTGGCGACTGGCCACAGCCCAGCACTTACAGGGGCCCCTTCCCGCTTCTCGCGGCAAGCCCCTGTCCTCAGAGGACCCCGAGCCCCGGGCAGGCCCCAGCATCTGAGGCGCAGGGTCCCAGACATCTGGCAGAGCCTCGTCCTGAACCACTCCAGGCCTGGCTGGTGGAAGAGGCGGCAAGAGACGGCGCTGAGCTGCAGCGTGGCTGCATCTCCACTCGTGCCCGTGCGCGTAGTCGTGAGGTTTACAAAGACCGTGAGTGGTGTCTCGGGCACACAGGGACAGCTGCTGCAGGCCTCCCTTGGAGGGGTCCGCCTGGGCCCAGCCACCACCTCACGCCGGGCAAGGGGGAAGAGGCCTGACTGAGGGGCCTGGGCTGCCGACACAAGGGGCTGCTAAGGGCCCCTTCCCACCACACAGAAAAGCTAAAGCCCAGAGCTGGGCCTGGGGGAACACATGACCTCCATGAACCCCAGGGCCCCGGGGTCACTGGCAGAGCTCGTCTTCGCAGACCCACTGGCCCTGCCATCTACAGGGGAGGATGGGGGCACAGGCACAAGCCAGGCTGGGTGGGCCTTGGGTTGACTGGGCTGCCTCAGATTATGGACGAGGGGAAGCCCCAAAGGCCCACAAGGGCACACCTCCAAGGGATGCGATATTCAGCGCCTGTTTCCCTAGGGATCAGCTGGGTGACCTGCCAGGTGCTTCCTCCCTTCCTTCCTGCAACCAGTGGCCAAGGGCATCTGGCATCAGCACTGGGCAGCCACAAGTATGGCCATGACCAATGTCCCATGCTCCATACCTGTGGGCTCCTGAGGCTGCCCACACCTGCCCATCCACCAGCCAGAAGAGAGGACCCTACACTGAGCTGGGGGCATACAGAGACCTGAGGCTGCCACCTACCCCACCTCTGTGCCTCAAAAGGGAGCCACAAGGCCCTGCCTAAAGGTGGGCTCTGGAAGGTGACTAAGGCCAAGGCCAGGGTCAAGGGGCAATTGCAGGGGTCAAAGGCCAGCCCCTTGCTACCTGCCCCATCATCTCTTCTCTGTCTTTTCTGCATTGGCAAGTTGTTCTCCCAGATTCCACTATAAGGGAGGTTATCCAACAATTATTCCCGCTTGCCTGCCCAGGCTAGGGTCCCCATCTCTTTTGGCCTGGGAGAAGCCGCAGAGCCTGCCTGGCTCCCTGGGCCGCTGCCCCTGGCCCCCAAGCCTCTCAGAAACCCCTCAACAGTCCAGCAAGTACAGTCCAGCAAGTACAGCTCCTCCAGAGAACATGGCATTCAGTCCCTGCCCAGCAGAGATCTGAATCCCAGGGGAGAAGTTGGCGCTGCCGTGGAAAACTGGCCGGGCTCCAGACCTTCCCAGAGTGGTCCAGAGGGTTCAGCTTGTATTCAGACCCCACCCCAAATCTTACCCAAGAAGGGAGAAAAGAACCAGCCCATTTCACAGATGGGAGCAGAGGTCAGAAGAAAGCTAACACCCAGCATCCTTGGGAGGTCATCCCTGGCTCTTGGCAGTGGGGCCCCTGCCCTTGGGGACTGTGCCCACTGCTGCGCCACCAGCCCTGTGAGGTCAGTCCTCATGGCACCTGCTTGCAAGGACCAAGCCTGCCCTGTCTCATCCCCACTGCAGAGCAGGTCTGAGGCCATGCAGCGCCATGAGCAGGGCAAGGCCTGCAGCCAGAGCACCCAGGCCACGCGAGCCACAGGAGGGGCGCTGGGCGGTGGAAGGCACAGGCACAGGCCAGCTGGGGCAGGAGGGGGGCACCTCCCCAACCCACCACGCTGTCCTTCCCTGCGTGTTCACAGCAAGTCCCCATGCCTCAGAGGCCCCAGAGCAGACCTGGCCCTACAACTGGTGGGTGGGCATGAAATGGGCTCCTGTGGATCCTGCCCTGGGCCAGAGCCTCCCACGGGCCCAAGACTGGCAGCTCTTCCCACTCATGGATGAGACTCTAGTGGGAGCTCCTTGGAAGGCAGGGCCCAGATCCACAGGGCCAAACCCTCCTGGCTGGAGGCTAGCATCCTGAGGGCTCAAGAGCAGTGCCCAGATGCCCTAAAGCAGGTGGATCTCCTCCTCCAAGGATCTGGCCCCAACTGCCACACGGCATGAGGGGCCCTGCCCAGGTCCCTGCTCCCTACCAGGCCCCGGACCCAAGGCTGAGCCTCCGAGGGCTGGAACCCAGCCCCTTCAGGACCCACCCTCCCGAGACAAGGGCGCAGCTCAGCAGGCCACGAGAGTGGCTGGCCGCAGCATCCCCTCAGCAGGAGAGTGGGTAGGACACACCAGGCAGCTCATGTGGAGGGCTGGGGGGGAAGGAGGACCACTTACCTGTGCTTCTCTAGCTCATTGTGTGAAGACCTGTTTAGAAAAACAGAAAGACGAGGCTCACTCTGCCGCTCCAGCGCCAAAGCATAAGGACAGGAGCTACTCAGGGGCCCAGGAGCCCGTGGGAGGCCGCAGGGAGGTCTGGGACAGGCAAGCAGCTGCCGACCAGCACAGGGGGTCCTTGCGCTGTGACAAGGCCGGGACACAGAGGTGCAGCTGTATGCAGGGCTTTCCAGGAACTCCCAGGTCACTAGGGAGGCCCGTGGGGCTCTGGGCAGCAGAAGGCCCTGGTCCCCTTCCAGAAGGGGTGGGGGAAGCCCAAAGAGCAGCCATCACTGGACTCGGAAGTGACCCATCCTGAGTTCCTGAGGCTGTCGGGCACTGAGCCGTCTGCCCCACTCCGCGCTCCCTGAGGCCAGCAGTGTCCCTGGAGCCATGTGGGCTGGCACAGAGAGCCAACTGCAGATGAGCACAGAGGCCAGGCCCTCAGGGCATGGGCAGTCCTGTCCCAACGTCATCAGCCTGAGCACCATCCCCACCCCGTCGGGCTCTCACAGCTGCAAGGCCAGAGCCCACCACAGCAAAGGGGACACCCTGGGACAGAGCAGATCCAGCCCTCCAGGGATCAGCCCACAAGAGGGTTTCTGAGGCGAGGATGGTTCCTGGGCAGAGGCAGACCAAAGCCGGCCCTGCCACTTCCCCCGGGGGCCACGGTCTGGCAGGAATGGCCACCCTGGGCCCAAGCTTGCTTTCTCTGGGGACTGTGGCCCCTCCCCCATTCGCTCCGCAAGCCCTTCCCGCCTGGCCTACTTGACAGGGACAGAGCCCCCAGAATCGCAGTGGGCTGCACTGCAGTGCTCCCCAGCAGCACAGGCAACAGGGCCAAGCCACCCTCCCAGTCCAAGCACGGACCCCAAAGGCCAGCCACAACTCCGAGGCCTCCCAGGCTGCCTCACATGGGACTAGAGGGCCCAGGCCCCTCACTGCTTACTGGAGCTTCTGTGGACCCCTGCCTACCTGCGCCCACTCTTTCCAGAGTCAGGCACCTCCTGTTCTCACCCTGTGGCCAATGGGCCTGCCCCTGCCACCTGCCACGGCTCTTGGTCCCACCGCAGTCAGCCCTCCTCCCACAGAGGCAGCCAGCTCCTGGGCCTCTGCGTCCAGCCTCAGGAGAGCCCCCAGACCCAGGTTCCAGGGGCCACAGGAGTCTGCTGGTCACATGGGCTGGGCAAGGAGCCTCAGAACTACCGCCGGGGCCAGGAGGGGGTCGGCCCTCAGGCTCTCGTCCATCTGGACAGCAGCCTAGCAGTGTGGGTCTGTAGGTTGCTCACTTGTGAGAGATGTAAGGGTCACTGAGTGTCCGTCAGTACGGGAAAGGCTGCCCACTGGCCCCCGTGCAGCCTGGGCTGGGCCCCGTCCTGGAAGGAGAGGGGGACTCCTAAGGCAGCCAGGAGATGGAGAGGGGCACAGAGCTCTTCCTGGGGCTCCTGCTGGGTCCAGACACCTGTAGGAACCTTTTAAGGGGAGATTTGTCACAAGGATCCCAGGGCACCCTGTCCCAGGCCATGCTAAGCATGTTCCTGGCACCACTTGGCTTGCTCCTCACTTCCACCCTGCAAGGCGGGTACTCTCCAGCCCACTTTCCTGTAGGACCTGCTCCCAGGGGGCCGGCTCAGTCCCTCTGGGAGCCGCTGCTCCTGAGAGCCCTTTCTGGGTTCCCCACCTTGCCCTGGTCCTGGCCGTGCCTGGCCTTCTCACTCACCTGGGCAGGGCACAGAAGCCTGTGGGGCCCTCTGGGCCCTGCTCTGGGCTGACTGAGGCCAGCAGGCCAGGAGAGCCTCAAGGGGCAGACTCTGTGAGCTCAGGGGACACCTCAGGCACTGGGGAGTCAGGCTCTGCCCCAAGGAGCGGCAGGAAGGGACCCTCCAGCCCAGGGGACTCTCCTGGTCCCTTCCCGTCCCCTCAAGGTCTCTACCCCAGCAGAATACAGAAGGCCAGGTCCCTGTCTCCAGGAGTCCCAGAGGTGGGGGGTGGCCCTGGGCAACCCTGTGCCTTGGTTCCCGCAGCCCTGAAACAGAGATGAGAGTAACACCTCCTCTGTGGCCTTAGGTGCGTGTTAACCAGCAAGCGTGCCAACCACTTAGTACTTAGGAAGCACTCAGAGAACCTTAGCTGTGATTCTTCTTGTTACTAGCTCCGGATACCCTGTGCCACGGGAGTCCAAGGTCATCCCCGGAGTTTTCCACGGGTGTCAGGGCATTTGGGACACTGAGCACCAACAGCAGGGGCCTGGCTAGCTCACTGAGGAGGCTGGAGGCAGTGGCGCCCCAGCCATGAATGTCCTTTCTCATGAATGTCCTTTCCCAAACTGTGCCCAGCAGGGGACCAGAGGCTGGGACTCAGACATGCCCAGCCAGGGCAGATGGAGCCTCAACCAATTCCTTGCCAGGCCCAGGGCGCCAGGATGTCACAGGAGATGGGTCCTTGTGCCAACCAGCCTGTTTCCCAAGAACCAACAGACCACAGGAATGAGCCGCACCCTCCACCAACGGGCCTAGGAGCCCCCCCTGCAAGCACAGCTCCCGGTCTGGTGGCGTGGTCCACAGCCAAAGTGGGTCCCTGGGCAGCACGAGGTGTGTTGAGGTCCTCGCAGCGGCCAGGAGAGTGGAAGCCCGCGGAGGCCTCAGCCCAGGAGCCTCTCTCCCAGCCCGGGGATGTGCACCCCAGCTTTAAGGCTTCTACAGCCTGGGAACAAGGCCAGAGAAATGGGGGGGAGGGGGTGCTGGCATCAAAATAGGCTGCTCCACTGCAGCCGGCAACCTCTTCCCGCCCCCTGAAGAGCCTCCCGTTCAAAGGTTCAAAGGGGCCCCTACACTTGCCACTGGAGTCTCACTTGTGTCAGGAGGCTGGGCAGGAGCAGTCAACACCACGGGGGTAAGGGGGGGGGACGGGCAGGGCCTCCCTACGCCTTCTTTGTCCTGACCCATGCGAGTAGGGGTCCTCAGCCAGTAGCAGGGGCTGGCGCTGGAGACACGTGGAGAGGCGGCCCCCCACCCTCGGCTGCGTGCAGAGAAGTCACGGCACGCAGCTCTACGCCGAGACTCAGTGTCCCCGGACCCACGGGGCACCGACCAGGGTACACTAACAAACTTTCTTCCTGCCCGGAAAGTCCAGAACAACTTCAGCGCGGGGAGCGGCAACGGGAGGAGACCCCGGGCGGCGGGCGCTGTACGCGTGGCACTGTTTACGCGAGAGGCCGAGGAGGCGCGGCCCGCGGGAAGATGGCGACGGCGCGGGCGGGGCCAGATGGGCGGGGCTGCGGCCGCGGCCCAGGCGCGCCTCCTCCTCCAGGCTGGCCACCGGGGCGCGCAGCGGCGGCCAGGCTGTGGGCGGAGGCCCGGGGCCCGGGAAGGGCTCTCAGGAAGCTGAGTCCCGGGGCCCGGGCTGGGCGGGAGCCGGTGGCCGCGCGGGGGGCGGTACCTGTTGTTCGGGGCCTTGCGCACCAGGCCGGCAGCCTTTGTTTTCTTCCTGGCGAAGTCGCCGTCGAAGGGCAGCACCGACGCGTAGCCGTGCTCGGCCTCTGCGGACAGACGACGCGATCAGCGGGCCCCCGTCCCGGCCCCGGCCCCACCGCCGCCCGCCCGCGGTCCGACGCACAAAGGGGCGCGGGCGCTACCTCGGTCCCTGCGCTCCAGGTACTCGGCCGCCTCCAGCAGGATCAGCAGGGAATTCAGCTCCATCCTCCTGCCTGCCCGCACCGCCCCCGCGCTCCGGGACGGCGGCGGCCGCTGCACGGCCCGCTTCGGCCGGCTCCGCTCGCCGCCCGCCCCGTGCGCCCAGCGGCCCTACTTGCCCGACTCCGGCGGCCTCCCGATCGCTCGGCCGCCACCCTCCGCCTCAGGCCCTCAAATTGACACATAAGGACGAGCGGCGGCCGGTGCAGCCAATGGGGGCCGGCGCCCCGGCTCCGGGGGGGGACTCTGGGCCTGGCCGTAACCAATGGGAACCGGCCGAACGCCTCCGGCCGGGCAGAGAATGTTGACAGATGAGAAGCTTGGTTCCGATAGGCCCGCCGCGGTAGTAACAATTTAGAAGCCCAAGCTTAGCAACAGCACGTGGTGGCCCGGCCCACGAGCTCGCTGAATGGCGGCTGGCGTGCATGTTAAGTAGGCACCACGAGCCGATTGGTCCAGAGAGGTCTATGTAAAATAGGGACCACGGACCAATGGCCGGGGGCGCGCGGCCAATGAGGGCGCACCGGCCGGACGCGTTGCTGAGAGGAAGCGGAGCGTGGTGGGGCAACCGCGGTGGGGCTGCCCGCCGTCGTGCCACGCGCAAGGGCCCCGCTAGAGCACGGGGGTGTGCCTCATGCGCCCGGCGGTCCGCTGGGTCTGCGCACTGTGCGTAGGAACCTGTTGCCTCCGGCCGGCTGCAACACTAGCTCCGCGGGAGCGCTTGACCTCGCGGTCTCGTCGGAGCCTGGCATGGGGCTGCAAAGCTACACCCCTGCCCGCGGAACGGAGGGACCCCAAAAAGGCCGGGTCTGGAGGAGGGCGTTGACGGTCTGAGACTAAGAGCCAGGTCTCCTTGAGGATCTCAACGGGCAAACAGGCCCAGGAAGGGATTGGCCCAGTGGACCGCAGGGCCCAAGGAGGGGCCCAAGGCCTAAAGAGGGGGTCAATGATCTGCCGCCACAAAGAGGGGGTCAATGATCTGCCGCCACACTCGGTAGGGCCTCCCAAGAACGGAGCGCTGTGTGCTTGTGTCCGGTCTGAAGTGGGGGGGGGGGGGACATTCCAAAACATTCGCGGTCCCCTCTGGCCACGGAAGACATTCTAGGGAAGAGAGTTGCCTTCGGTGGGAGGGGAGCAAGGTGCCTCCTCATCTAGGGCCCAGCTGGCCGGTGGGATCTGTCACTCTTAAGTGACCTCTGGCCTAAGCTGGCTCTGTAGAGCAGGGACTGGCAGCCTGGGGGCAGCCCTAAGGTTGACCTCGGTCTGCCTTGGTCTTCCTTCTCCCTGGGTGTTGAGACTGGTGGTCCAGGAGCTCCTGAGGACTGGAGCTGGAGGCGGGGGGCGGAGGTGACTAGACCCCTGAGAGACGTTATAAACGGTTTGGGGGAGCATGGCTGCTGCCAATAAAACAAGCATTTCGTCACATCCAGTCCTGGGACCTCCTGAATGCTTCACCTGCACTTGGTGTATTTCCCCATCCCAATTTACAGATGAGGAAACTGAGAACCCTGAGGTTCAGGGACTTCCAGGGTCTAGCGGCAATCCCAGCAGAATGGAGATCAGTGTCCCCACACACATGACCCAGCGCTGGTGACACGGGAGCTTGGAGACCTAGCCACCTCCTGGGCCGATAAGAGTTGCTGGAGGTAGGAGCCACGGCGTAGCAACACCCAGTGGGGAACTCCGATACTAACATCAGCCGTCCCTGAAGGGACACTGAAACGACACTCTGACGTTAACCCCGGCCCCTCCTGCTCCTGCTCCACAGTCACCTAGGGCCGGGTGCAGGAGCTGTGCAGGGGAAGGCAGGGTGCTCAGTTTGGGGGAGGAGCAGGTGCACTCTGGGCTCGGCGGTAGAGGCCTAACCCAGGCTCACCACCTGGGGGCCAGAAGTTCGCAAGGTCACTCCATCCCTTCTGTGAGGCGTGGGTTGCTGGCCCCTGCCAGCCGGAGAGGAGAGGGGGTGGTCCCCACCTCGCCTGAATCTACATTTAGGCCTTTTCGGGGACTTCTCCCTCAGCCATTTCGCGACAGAGCACTGCCGGTGAGCGGGGGGAGTGCAGGGAGAAGTGGGCCGGGCCCTGGCCGGGGGCAGCCCAGGAGGAGCCTCACGGGTCGGTCGGGTGGGGGCGGGCGGCTACGGGAAGGCCGGCGCGGCCAGCGCCCCCAGGGGAGATCCGGGCGGATGCGGAGCCGGCTGGGGCTGGGCGAGCACTAGGGCGGTGGGTGCTGGTCTGGCTCGCGGCGGCCAAGTCTCCACCCCCACGGGCCTCAACGCGCCCCCACCCAGGTGTTGGGGCTGTGGGGCAGGGGTGGGCAGGGCATAGGCGCAGCGGGCGGTCCTGAGGCTGGTCGCCCAGCGGTCTGCGCTAGCTGGCCCAGGACATGGGCGCAGCGCCACCCCAGGTCCGGTTCTATAGGGCAAGCCTCCAGCAGGGCCACATCACCTCCCCTGGGGAGGCTTCCCCTAGCCCAGGCTGGGCGGGCAGTCTCCTCGCTTCCCTGCCTGCCCCTTCTCCAGTGCCCACCACCTGCCGCCTGGCCTGGAGGGAGGCAGACATCTCTGAGGAGGGGAGGACAAGGTGCGCCCCTCTCCCAGTCCCTACTCCCAGCCTCTCCCATGCACCCAGACCCCAAGGGGCCGGCCCCCTCCTCTGCATCCCTCCTGGACAAGCTCGTATTTCCCTCAGTGCCTTTGGGAAGCCCAGCCCACCCCAGAGCTCCACCTAGAAGGGGTGGGGCCTGAACCAGATGGAACTTCCCAGTTTGGGCAGGCCTGGTGTGCCTAGGCTATGTGTTTCTCCCGCGCCCCCCACCCATCAGCCTCAACCTCCCTGGCTATGAGAATGGTAGCCCTGCCTCTTGGGGCATCTGGAGGATAGCATGAGGCCGACTGGTCCAGAGGCTGGGGAAAGGGACTGAATGAGAATCCTCACTCCCCACCCCAGGATCCCCCGAGGGAACACAAAACCCTTAGAAAACGTCTAGAAGAGGACTTCCTCGCCCCTCGCGCGCTTCCAGGGCCCTGTTCCCTTTCTCTGCACCCAGGATGGCTCCACCACCACACACGATGTGCGGCTCTCAGCACAGCATGGAAGCACCCTGTCCGGGGGTGGGAAGGTCTGCGGGGCCCCCTCTCATCCGGGGCCTCCTCACACTTTCAGGACGACCTAGCCCAAACCCATCTGCTCCCTTACCTCGGCGCTGGCGTGGACTCCCTGCTGACACCCAAGTCCCTGCGCCAGCATTCCGGCTGCAAGTGAGGGGCTGCCCTGCCCACCTGGGGGCCCACGGCCTCGCTCTGGGGGCGGCAGGTTTGGACAGGTAGCTCCCTGCAGGCCGGTTCTGGGTCTGAGGGGCCCAGGGACAGACAGCCCAGCCTACGGTCACCAGGTGCTGGGAGGCCATGTCTAGCCCAGCAGTGCAACAGCCTCCCAGAAGCCTTGAGTCTCCTGCCCTGAGATGCCCAGTGTACACAGGATCAGGGCAGAGTCCTGAGGGGCTCTGTCACTGGTGCTTCCCCCACAGCCGCCCTGGATTCCAGTCTGACCGCAGGACCTGTAAAACAGTTGATGGTGCCTGCCTCTCGAGTTGGTTGTGGGGTGTGATGAAGGTTGCACAAAAGCCTGGGCCGCAGTGGGCTGCACGTAGGACCACCCAGGAAGTGGTGGTGATGAGGAAATATACAGAAAGTTCTCAAATCCCTCCCCTCCTCAGGGTTTGGTAGGAAGCCAGGAAAGCTAAGAAAGTCAAAGAAACAACGTTTCTGTAATGGCTTCCAGAATATAAAGGAATCGCAAGGTGCTTGAGTGCTTGAGATTGAAACAATGTAGCAATGTATTCCCCTCACAGGAGGACTCAGTGATATGAAACAGTTTGTTAATCATAGTCATGGAAGTCCATTAGTTTATAATACAGTATCTGGGTAACCTTTACAGAAGTAGATTAAAATATAACTAGCATCCTGAGTACACCTATAGTGACCTAATAGCTCCCACTGCAACAGTTTCTGGGTGCTGACTCCCCGCTTAGCTTTGTAGTAAATGTATAAAAGGCGTGGCCCTGCTGCACTCCGGCTCAGACCTTTGGAGTGCACTCTCCTCTGAGCTCGCGGGCGTAAAATAAAGCTCCGCCTTCCAAAACCTCCGAGTGGCGTTTGGTTCTTCCGTCAGTGATCCAGTCCAGGTTTTCCAGAAACCCAACCACGCTGGCCCATTGTTCCCACGGGTTTGGGACACCAGCGGCCGGCGGGGCAGGGATAGACCGGGCACCCGCCAGGGAGAAGGCGCGCCCCGCCTGATCTCCCAGCCGTCTCCCGCCTGGCCGCCTCGGCCCGGCTCTGCTCCGCTGCTCCCGCCGGACTCGAGGAGGTCTGGCAGGTGAGGACCTGGTTCTGACCTCGGATCACGGTAAGGCCCCGGAGCTCTTGACCCAGACAGACCCACCCGTTGGGTTGTAAGGGGAGTCCGAGCACCTCCCTGAGACCTCAGAGAGGACTCACAGGGAGAGATGCCCCGGGGGCATGTCTAAACCCTGGTCAGGTGTGTACCTGGGCAGGGCGGCGAAGCCGTTCAGCTCGCGGCGAATCCGTGATTCCACGGCCTGCGCCACAGAATCGGAGTGGGCTCCCACCCGCGTGACGATGACTCAGCTTCGGCCTGCCTGGCCTGGGATCTACGCGGGTGCCCCTTGGTCACAGCTGACCAGGGTCTCCGCGAGGACCGCAAATGGACAGGCATCTGACTGGTTTCCTCTCTGGAGGAGGCGCCCCTCCCTTGTCGTGGCGGCACCATCCACGGACACGACAGAGGTCAGGGCACAGCACACACACGGTTCTCAGCACCATGATCAAAAATTTCAGGAAGGGATTTCAGGGAGATTATGGAGTAAATGTGACCCCTGACAAGTTAAGGACCTTGTGTGAGTGTGGCCCACCTTTGATGTAGGGTGGCCTCCTGAGGGAACCCTAGATGTCCCAACAATTTGCCAAGTCTGTGGAGTCATTACTGGAGATCCAGGCCACCCTAATCAGTTCCCATATATTAATTCCTGGTTAGGAGTTGCCCAGACCCTGCCCCCTTGGGTGCCATGCACTTGCAACAGCAGGGACAAAGTAGGGTCTTCCTACAAATGCCGGAGATCCAGAGGAAGAACCAGTATTGCACCCACCGTATGCGCCCCCAAAGCCATCAGCACCCAGCCCCCCTGATCCCGGACACTCCACCGCCGTCGGCCTCCCCGCCACCTCCGTGTCCAGCAGACCCACTCTCCCCCGACCAGCAGCATGAGATGCTGGCATGAGAGACGAGGGAGCCCGAGGGGCATGATGCAGACCGGACCCTCCAGCCGGCCCGTCTGTGCCTTCCTATCAACCCTTCTAACAGAGATTCTGGCAGCCGCCCTAAAGGAAAAGAATGACCAAAGGGCAGAACAAGCCAGCTGCCAAGAGGGGGGAAGCTTACGACCCCCCTAGCCAGGGACCAGGGAACTTACTGTAAAGAGAAGGGGCATTGGGAAAAAAAATGAGTGTCCCCCCCGAGGGAGGCTGCCGGGAGGAGCCGCGCGGGGAGACACTCGCTGGCCTGGCAGGAACACTCAGACTGACGGGGACCGGGCTCTCTCACCCTCGGCCCCGTGAGCCCATGGTCAGAATGAAGGTGGGGGGACAAAACTTAACTTTTATGGTCGACACAGGGCCAGAACACTGTGGTCACCCACCCTATAGTCCCCTTCAGCAGAAGGAGCCGCTGGGTCAAGGCAGTTCAGCAGCACTTCTGCCAAGCCCATCAATGTGAACTTGGGGGCCACAAGGTCTGCCATGAATTTCCCTACCTACCCAAATGCTCCATTCCCCTCCTCAGCCAAGTGGCAATAACCACACCCAGGGAAGAGGAGCGGAGGCTGTTCTGTGCCCAGGCCCCTCACATAGCCCTCCTGAATTCAGAGCTGCTTCCCCTCAGTACTGGCTGAAGACAACCCACCTGGACTGGCCCATAACCTAGCCCCTGTCATTGTAGAATTGACCCTGGGGCCCAGCCACAGAGACAGCGGCAGTGCCCCTCTCACAAGAGGCGAGGGAGGCATCCAGAAACACCTGACCAGACTCAGAGAGGCAGGCATTGTAACCGAGTGTCAGTCGCCCTGGAAGACCCCGCTTCCACCAGTCAGGAGGCCAGGAGGAGGGCACCAGCCTGTTCAAGACCTGCGAACCATCAACAAGGTGGCTGTTTTTGTGCACCCAGTAGTCCCAAACCCGTATACCCTCCTCAGCCAGATCCCGGGGTCTGCCAAATGGTTCACTTGCCTAGACTTAAAGGATGCCTTTCTCTGCCTCCGGCTGGCCCCCCAGAGCCAGCCTTTGTTTGCCTTCGAATGGACTGAACCGGATATGGGGCAGCAGGAGCAGTTAACATAGACACGCTTCCACAAGGGTTCAAGAACTCAGCCACTCTCTTTGGAGAGGCATTGGCCGCAGACCTTACCAGCTTTCCGAGGGATGCCATGCACTGCGCCCTCCTGCAGTATGTAGATGACCTCCTCTTTGCCAGCAACACCGAGGAAAATTGTGCAAGAGGCACAGAGACCCTCCTGCAACTCCTGTCAGACTCAGGATACCGAGTTTCATGGAAAAAGGCACAAATCTGCCAGGAACAAGTCCAGTACTTAAGCTTCCTCCCCACCCAGGGCAAGAGGGACACTAGGGCTGGAAAGGAAAAACGTCTTTACCTCCTTACCCCAGCCCCAGACAAAGAAGAGCCTACAAGAATTCCTGGGGGCTGCAGGGTTCTGCCAAATCTGGATTCCTGGATTCTCGGCAATGGCAAAACCCTTCTACAGCCTCCTGGGGGGCCAGACTGACTGACAGCCCCCCATCTGGACAAAAGAGGCAAAAACTGCTTTCCAGAAAATAAAGGCTGCTTTAGAACAGACACCAGCCCTAGGCCTGCCAGATACAAAAAAGCCCTTCAATCTCTTCATACATGAAAAGGAAAAGGTGGCCCTTGGGGTTCTCACACAGACTGTTGGCCCCTGGCAACGGCCGGTCACATACCTGTCAAAGAAACTGGACCTGGTTGCAGCAGGATGGCCTCCCTGCCTCAGGGTGCTGGCAGCCACAGCTCTACTCATTAAGAAGGCAGACAAACTTACCCTGGGACAAGAATTCAATTCTGCCTTGCAAGGACACTGAAAGGGAAACGACCCTATAACACAGGGAAATCACCTGGCAGATGAAGCAGCTCAAGCAGCAGCCAGTAAACACTGGAAGCCCTCCTCGAGAAGCAATACTACGCCAGCCAGTTGCCAGCATTGTGCTGGGCAACAACTGAGCGGTGCATGACTTGTGCCAGGAATAACACTCAATCTGCCCCGCGACCCCTGCCAGGTGCCCAAAGGGCAAAGTTGCCCCCTTTGAAGACCTAGAAACAGACTTCACAGATGTCCAGCCAAGCCGAGGACTCAGATACCTCCTAATACTGACGTGGATGTACTCTGGGGGGTCGAAGCCTTCCCGACCAGGGCAGAACGAAGCCGAGAGGCAGCCAAAGTCGTCCTGAGGCCGACTGCGCCCCAGTCAGGCCTACCATCTACAATTCGCAGTGACAATGGGCCTGTATTTGTAGCATACAGAGTACAAATTTTAACCAAATCTCTCAACGTCACCTGAAAACTCCACACTGCCTACAGGCCCCAGAGTTCAGGGAAAGTAAAGCAAACAAGTCGCACCCTCAAGGGAACCCTAGCCAACTTCTGTCAGAGAACTGGCCCCCCATGGCTGGACCTACAACCCTTGGCCCTCCTGCATGTCCACTGCACACCCGTAGCACAAGGCTTTTCCCCTTTTAAACTAGTGTATGGATGGCCCCCACCCCATGCCTAGAAAGCCCTCCAGGAAACCTACACCAAATAAGAAATGAAAGAGTAAGGGAACAGCTCCAAGCCTTAGGAGCCACCCTAAATAAGTTACAACAATACACAATCTCCTTGGGGACCCCAGTGCATTCCTTCCAGGTAGGGGACTCAGTCTAGGTCAAATATTTAAACAAGGACTCCCTCAAGCCTCAACAGACTGGGCCCCACATTGTTGTTCTAACCATTCCTACTGCCCTCGAGGTCTCAGGCATCACTCCATCGGTCCATCATTCCAGAGTGGAGAAGGCCCATCACTTTAACGAAAAAATGCATCAGTGAAGAAAGAGCCCAGCAGCCAGACCTCAGGAATCCCCTCTGCCTCTGCATCCGACGATTACTCTCTAATGAACACGTGCACGCCGTGGACCCTGGCGCTGGCCAGTGTGGGATCTCATCCTGGGGATTGGACTCTCCGCTGCTGCCCCTTCTAATTAGAATGTCCCCCACAGAGTTGCCTTTTCCACTGTTTATTGGGTAATCCTAAATTGTGCTGCTGGGCTTGCTTGCCTTTTTTAACTTCAGTCTCGGGCCTCAGCCTGTCTAACTTCTCCCCAGCACTTCTCTGTAACGTTCCTCTGTACCTGCTTGCGCTGTGCCTAACTGCCCAAATGGCACTGGGACAGGAGCACCCACTGTTGTACAATTTTACACTATCATCAAGAAAATTCATAGGCCAAGATGATGCCCTCTAAAATGAATTATTTAAAGGGGCATCAGATGGGGGAATGATGAGGAAATACACAGAAAGTTCTCAAATCCCTCCCCTCCTCAGGGTTTGGTAGGAAGCCAGGAAAGCTAAGAAAGTCAAAGAAACAACATTTCTGTTAAGGCTTCCAGAATATAAAGGAATCGCAAGGTGCTTGGGTGCTTGAGATTGAAACAATGTAGCAATGTATTCCCCTCACATGAGGACTCAGTGGTATGAAACAGTTTGTTAATCATAGTCATGGAAGCCCATTAGTTTATAATACAGTATCTGGGTAACCTTTACAGAAATAGATTAAAATATAACTAGCATCCTGAGTACACCTATAGTGACCTAATAGCTCCCACTGCAACAGTTTCTGGGTGCTGACACTCCGCTTAGCTTTGTAGTAAATGTATAAAAGGCGTGGCCCTGCTGCACTCGGGCTCAGACCTTTGGAGATCACTCTCCTCTGAGCCTGCCTGTGTAAAATAAAGCTCCGCCTTCCAAAACCTCCGAGTGCTGCTTGGTTCTTACGTCAGTGATCCAGTCCAGGTTTTCTGGTTTTCTGTAAGAGTGGGAATATTAACATGAACCCCAGTCAGCAAGTCCTTGTAACTCTTAGTCCTACACACAGGGAAAAGCAGCAGGACCTACCGAGTCATACCTGGAGTCATGGTCAAACATAAGGTGCAACGGCAACCTCCCAAGCCGACCAGTCACTGGCTCAGGCCAGGCCTCTGAGCATTTGGGGGCCTTCTGAAAACTTTAACACTCAGGAAAAAAACTACCTTCGGAATACAAGAAGTAGAC